AATATCGTGTCATATCTGGTGAAAATCTGTAAAGCGGTCAAAGCTGACTTGTCGTATTTCCCTATTGCAAACATTGTAACTTATATGAAAAACAGGGTAATTTTAACACATATTTTTGGTAATTTCCTCATAATGACCTACATTTGGCTAATTGTTTGCATGCACCTTGATAAATGGCTGGGCCGTACGGGCAAACTGTCAGTCAGACTTATAGCCCTCGACAAAGGCTAAAAAATGACCGCGAGTGAAATTCGCCTTATATCAGCTTTGTATAGAAAATTTTTTCTTGATTTACCCCAATTGATTTTGTCCTAATTTTTAAACTTGACCCAGATTGTCCAAGCTTCACCTGGGGTGTAACGACAGAGTGCACATCACCGTGCATCTGTGTGCAGGCCAATTCCATCAGTTGCATCCGGATGACCGGCGTGTGTGTGTGTAAACCTGGCTACTACGGCAGTGACTGCTCATCAACTAACCCAAATACAGGTAACTGTTAAGAACTTACATACTTTTTTTTCTTTTATTTATTGTGTAAACCAATACGTAAACAGATTACAAAACTCTAGTTATCAGAAGTATATTCCATCAGTTGGTTAATAAAAAAATACATTAATCGACGTCAGTGTTTCTTTCAGACTTTTTTTTTTCTCCGGGGCACTTGAAATCTTCGAGAAGGGGGTGGGGGGGGGGATCAAATTTTCATTCGGGGCGATGTGACAATGGTAAAAGTATATATACTCTATAAAAATTCTATTTCGTTCGAGGGGGGGGGGCGAAAAACGTTCTTTTGGAGGCTGCGCCCCCCCCCCCCTCCCCCAAGAAGAGATATATGAAAGAACTCCATTGGCATTTTTTTTTCAAAATCAGAACAGTTTAAAAATTAACATTTCAATATTTGCTAACTGTAATCTAAAAAAAAAAAAGATAATCAACGTTTAAACTCTTCTGGTCCTTACAAACTATAGCACCAACCATCTCACTATGTACCACCAACATCGCAGCAACATCAGGTGTCTTGTCCAGCCCCAACTACCCACAGAACTACAGCAACAACCAGCTGTGTCAGTGGAACATCGTATCTGGGACGAACAAATTCATCGTTCTCATGTAAAAAACAAAATTTATTTTTCATTCATATTCATCTCAAATATTATACACCAAAAATATGTATTTCACATAATAACATTTTTAAAAAAATTAAATATTCCACACAACAAACTTACGATTTTTTTCAGAAGCAATAAATATTCAATTATAGTGTAGGCCTACATACTAATTAATGCACTAATGACGTCTATTTGTACAAAATCTTTTATTTACCTCGGAACCACACTGCTCCCGCTTTTACTGCTTTTGTCTTTTTTACTTGCTTTGGCTAACGGTTGCAAGTTTCGAGATAAATCTTGTCCACTTCTACAGGATGTTTAGGTGCACAGAAAAAATTGAATACATATTTAATCAAAACATGTTCATTGCGTATGTTCATAAAAATACAACAATTTAACTTAAAACTTGATACGTTTATTTGATTAAAATATATAAACTTGTCAAATGTTTTAGTATCACAGACCTGAGAATGGAGAGCTCACCTGACTGCTCCAAAGATTACCTGGACATCTATGACGGTGTCGATGCTTACTCCAACAAACTAGGTCGTGTTTGCCAGGGTACGGTGCCCAGTTTCACGTCATCAGGAAATAAGATGTACATTGTGATGAGGACGGATGGTGCTGGGACTAATGTCGGTTTTACTAGCAAATTTATTTCTACTGGTAATAAAACTTATTGGTATATAATAATTAAAAATCTTAATTTATGTTAGAAATTATTTTACTCTTTGGATAAAATGTGTCATATACATTTGGATAATAAAGTTATTGATAACTTAATAGAACAGCTACTAATAGAATAATTTAGGAAAATCTTAAGTAATTTTAACAACATGTGTGCTCAATTTTTAGTTAAAACATGAATAAGCCAGACAAAAAGAATTAGTTACATGTATTCTAAACGGAAGTATTGCTAAATATATTAAATGACAATAATTTAAATTTTTTCATTATTCATTACGTTAAAACTACATAGAAACATTAACATAAAGTGCATCAATACTATCAGAATATTACATATTTATTTTAACATGCAAATTTGACTCTAAAGTACATGTAAAAAATAATTGTGTAAAAACGTTTTAATAACAAGCTTTTATGTAATAATGCATTAAAGAAGAGATACTTCTTCTTCTTCTTCTTCTTCTTATACGGAAACCGGCTCAGAAGGTTGACTTCCATCAGCCAGGCAGGCCTCAGTGTAGCAAACTCCGACCACAAGAGTTCCCCACACCTCGGTCGCTACTTCCGTGGGCTCTCACCGGGCTTTCCTTCCCCACCCACCAGACGCGGGACGTCGTCCCACCGCCTGGTACCCAGCTTGATCGTGGGGGGCATTCCGCCAGATCAAAACCCTCTAGCTGCTGTTATCTGCTACCGGCCATTCCGCACCCACTAGGGGGACATGAGTTTGGTCGGACCAGTGGCATTATTCTGAAGCCCCGTTAAGGCCGCAGCTTAAAGTCAAGTTAAATAAAAGCTGGTAACAAACTGAATCTTTCCCAGACTGTCCTGCCTTTAGGTATGGCACATCTTGTAGCATGCCCTGTAAGTGTAAGACAGCCACCACAGAGTCATGTGACTCTACGACAGGCGTCTGCAAGTGTCAGACAGGATGGACGTCCAGTGACTGCTCACAAGACGAGGACGAGTGTCTCCAAAATCGATGTCCAAGACCTCAGGCCTGTTTGAATACATTGGGTGGATATGAATGCTCTTTCTCAATCGGCACAGGTGAGTCGGGCTGTAATATGTAGGGGCCTATATGGCTTACATTTAAATTTATTTTAGGTATACTACTTACTTTTAAAAAGACTTTCAAGATAGATCACGTGGCGTATATAAATTGTAAGTATTCTACAAAGTGAAAAAAAAATGAAAAAGTTTTATCTCTATATTCGGTAGGATGAGATATTTGTGTCAAGTATTTACAAACAGAAACTAAACGATGTGGTCTACTGCTGTTTGAAATTTCATGGGTGTAATATTAAAGAAGGCATAAAACGGTGGTCATCTGATTGTTCACTACCAATCGTAAAAAGTGACTAATATTTTCATTTTATTTCTGCTTTCAAGATCTGTGCCACTTCAAAATTTCATCTCACAGCCGTGCTGAGAAGTGCCCCAAAACTTCATATCTATACATGTTACAAAATGCAACTTTTGTGTAGCTCACTAAACTATTAGATGTAAACAATTAAAACTGTTTTAACACAGCCTGCAACATGAGCGCTACATTTGAGTCAGGCTACATCACCAACCCGAGCTACCCAGCCGTCTATAAACTCCAGGCTAATTGTCGATGGACAGTTAGAGCAGGAAAAGGAAGGGTTATTTCCCTTAGGTATCTATAGAATAAAATAAATAATCTACAGATTGTCTCTTGCCTTCTCCCAATATTAGGTTTCAACTAATTTTATAATCCCCTATTAAACAACTAATAGCATTTCACTGTCGCCAGTTTCAGAGAATTCGATGTGATGTACTCTCCACGATGCGCCAATGATTCTATCAACATCTACGACGGGAAAACAGATTCTTCCCGTCTCATCGGGAAATACTGCGGGAATGTTGTTTCTGGTCTGGTCAGGTCAACTGGACCGTACGTATACGTCACGTACACTAGCCCAGGCAATGTCAATGGAGACATCTTTAATATTTACTTTCGCTCGCACGGTAAATGGTTTTTTTTTATCGTGTGCCGTGTTTACATTTGATAACATTATGTTGATATTTCTACGTGTTTAATTTTCTATTGCTGTAAAATGAATAGCGTTTACAGAGGAAGTAATGCAGATTTCTGAACAAACTTTGTATTCTATTCTAGTAGTTTTTTAACTTCAGATATTATTATTGAATAATACGCTTCAATATTTGTAAAAATACGCTAACTCAATTACTCAAGAAAAAGTTAGTAAAAAATGTCCCTGTATTGCGTGGACAGTTTAAAATTCACCTGAAAATACTTAAATCACAAGGTTTCACAGATGAAATAAGCCTGAAGTGACGATTAATTTAAAATTAATTGATCTTCAATAACGTTAGTAGTTTCTGAAAAAAAAATATTTTAGAAAATTAATTTAGGATTTGCTACGCAAAACACGATTTGCTCGAATGTAAATCTACTAAAATATTTAATAATCATTTGTTTAGCACGATTGTTTATTACATTTAAATAAATCAAACATAATTATCTAAAAGATTATGGTAAAAGTAAAAATTAAGATAAACTTAAAACTAACTGTCTGAACCTGATTTCAGTTTGCAAACAGTGGACGTACCGGCCGACGTGTGAGCTAAGCTGTAGTTGTGACCAAACCAACACGGAGTTTTGTGACAACACATCTGGTCTGTGTGTCTGCAAAACTGGCTGGACAGGGGACAACTGTACACAGAGAATATGAGTACATCTAGACAGGCGACAACTGTACACAGAGAGAATAAGGACATCTAGACTGGGGACAACTGTACACAGAGAATATGAGTAGATCTTACTGGACAGAGTACAACTATACACAGAGAATATGAGTAGATCTTACTGGACAGTGGACAACTGTACACAGAGAATATGAGTACATCTAGACAGGGGACAACTGTACACAGAGAATATGAGTACATCTAGTCAGGGGACAACTGTACACAGAGAGAATAAGGACATCTAGACTGGGGACAACTGTACACAGAGAATATGAGTACATCTAGACAGGGGACAACTGTACACAGAGAATATGAGTACATCTTGACAGGAGACAACTGTACACAGAGAATATGAGGACATCTAGACAGGGGACAACTGTACACAGAGAATATGAGAACACCTAGACAGGGGACAACTGTACACAGAGAATATGAGAACACCTAGACAGGGGACAACTGTACACAAAGAATATGAGAACACCTAGACAGGGGACAACTGTACACAGAGAATATGAGAACATCAGCTGGCTGGACAGGGGACAACTGTACACAGAGAATATGAGAACACCTAGACAGGGGACAACTGTACACAGAGAATATGAGGACATCCAGACAGGGGACAAATGTACACAGAGAATATGAGTACATCAGCTGGCTGGACAGGGGACAACTGTACACAGAGAATATGAGGACATATAGACAGGCGACAACTGTACACAGAGAATATGAGTACATCTAGACAGGGGACAACTGTACACAGAGAATATGAGTACATCTAGACAGGGGACAACTGTACACAGAGAATATGAGGACATATAGACAGGCGACAACTGTACACAGAGAATATGAGTACATCTAGACAGGGGACAACTGTACACAGAGAATATGAGTACATCTAGACAGGGGACAATTGTACACAGAGAATATGAGTACATCTAGCAGGACAGGGGACAACTGTACACAGAAAAAAAACGTTAAGGGCAGTAATTATCATAGTACTAATATTTATTTAAATTATGTTGAAGTTTCAGGCAAAGATAAATTATGGTGTAAAAATCTATAAATAGTCAGATTTTGAGTTCTTAGATCCGCAACTAGCCAACCTATTTTTTAAAATGGAAGATTTTTAGCTTTTTAAATGTAAAATTATAAATAAGTCATTGTTTATGTAGATAGCTTCTTCTTTCTTCTCCTTCGTTCTTAATTTTAGTGTTGAAAGGGAACCCCTCCAACACAATTAAGTATACGTGTCAACTGGTTATGCGCCATTGATGCCATTTCAGCCTGCATTTCTTTGGGATTTGCTACTATAGCAAAATCAATTATATATATATATATATATATATATATATATATATATATATATATATATATATATATATATATATATATATATATATATATACTCAGATATAGCGAAAAATTACACAACTGTTTTTTTTTAAAACAAACGTTTTAGTAAAACGTTGAGATTTGTCCGAATATCGATTTCAGTATTAGTACAATTATCTTACTTTTTCAATGCTTTGTTTACAAAAAGTAAGACCGCATTTCACACATTTCAATTATTTTTTTAAATGAAATTATGATGTTTTTCTCTTCTACTGTTATTAACCATGCAATTTTACATATAGGGCCTACTAATGTAATAATGTTTAAAGCTACAAAATATATTCAAAATTGGTAAAGTATTTATTTGATCCATTTATCTTAGTAAACATTGCCATGAATATTGCGCTAAAGCTCATCATTTCTTACACAACCCAAATATTGCTTAGCTTATGAAGATTAATTATTTAATGTTTAAATATAGGCTATGTAGGTTACTTTACAACTCAGTTCAGGCGGTTCAGGTGAAAAAGTGTCGACCATTTCTTCGATTATACGATGCAGTTGCAGACTTGAAAATACAGTATACTTGTTTTAGTATGATACTTGGAAATCGATTCATATTCTTTACATTTTAAACCATTTTCTAGATCAACAACTTACATTTTGCTCTTCTGAAGCTAATAATTATTAAAACATATTTCTATGTGTAATTTTTCTTTATCCCTCTGGTTTCGTTGATCAGAAAATATAAAAATAACATAAAGTATATTGCTTATTAAAAATTGTAAATACTTTAGGCCTACATTGCATCAATACATACGTTCTACTTTATAATATTATTGCTTGTCAAAAATTATCAATATTGTAGACCTAAAGATAAAGATATCAAGGTAAAAAAATAATCCACGTGTTTAGAGTAATATTTGAATTAATATTATTAATAGCATACGATATTAAACGACTCAGTACAACATAAAGCGCTGTTTTCGATTTTCATTCTGTATTTACTTATATTTTATAGCACGTAGAATAAAATTATAATAACACGATTTAAAATGTTTCCAATTAATCGACTTTTTTTTTCGTTAGACGAAAAATTAAATGTAGTGATATAATAAAAGCTAAAAAATAGTATTGCCACATTTAGTTTTAGTTGTCCTTATTTTTTCTAGGTCTTATCTAAACCTAGAACTATTTTTTTTTGTGTTGTTACTTTACGATCAAGGAATATACAAGATTAAAAAAAAACTGATCTAAGAAACGATCAAAGCTTGAACTGGGGTTAAAGGTTGGTAGATCAATGAATTCATGGATTCGATTTTTCTGCCTATAAAATACTTTTGCATTACTGCAATTTGCTATTTCACCGTTCAGTGATTCTCAAGGGTAAAAAGAAACACCTAAAGTTTCTCGAATATTCTTATATAACACTACTGGGGATGGCTACATGGGATATAGACATGATTTTTAATCCATTTTTAATTATTTTAACTTTTTAAAATAGAATAGAATCTCGTAGAAAAAAGAATTACGCACCAAGTGCACGCCAATAATATTATTAGTACTTTATAAATTCATATACTTTTTTTTTAGAAATCTGAAATAGCGTAAATTACTACTTATCGTCAACGGAAATTACTCAAAATTTGATAGAAGGCAGAAAATTAGATCTTTTACTTACATGTGAAATTTTATTTTTCTATCTGAAATAGTACTTAAGCTATAGGCTTTTGGAAAATTAAAAGTAGAGTAAGTCCCACTTTCTTTTACCGGAAATCGCTGAAAAGTTGAAAAAAACCTACAAATTTGATATAACACTTGTATATGACATTTCATCAACCTAGCTGTAATGGTAGTCAAGTTATCGTGTTCACAGACACAGACACATATACACATACATACACATATACACACACACAGACATATGGACACAATTGCGAAACTATGTTTTTTCCGACTCACGGAGGTGTAAAACGTCGAGATTTGTGAAAAATCTCGATTTCCATTGATTGCATGATTACAATACTTCCTCTATACATCGTATATGAGAAAATAAAAAGTAATAGAAAGAGATGAAAAGTGGTGAGATGGGCGTGGAAGGCAGAGAGAAAGAAAGACAGAATGAGAAAAAAAAGAGATATAAGAAGAGAGGGGCTAATATAACCGCGGAGACTAAAAATTGTTTGAAAGTTTCTGATCAAGTGTGGCGATGTTCATACTGTTCTGCAATATATATCACTTATCTTTGATCTAGGCTAGATCTCCCAGCAGATTTCTTTAGAACCGCTGATGTGAGGAGTTGGGAATACTCAATTATTTACACCCGTTGGTGGTGTCGTACTGCGTAATAGAGAACAAGTTTTCCATAATATATTTTATTGGCATATTTTCCCTTCGAACCACCTACGAATGTTGAGACACAGTTCTAGTTCAACTTCTCTGCAGACAGGCTGGAATGTAAAGCTATGCTCTAATGTCACTTATGAGAACCCGTAGCTCTCGCATACATATAGTTGTATCCAACAATTTTGGAGATGATCAAAATGATCAGGATAATCTTGGAAGTTTTTTGTATTTATCTTGTTTTAAATGGTGGATCTTGTCAATTTTGTAAGTATACTTTACAGAAAATTAAAATAATTACTAACATGTTTCAAGGAGAATTTAATAAAATAAAGTAAATACTAAGTCTTAAATAGCGTACTAAATACTTGTTCATAAAATTAATTTACAATCATGTATTTTGATTTGAATAAACATAATTATCAATAGTTTAGCAGTTTAAGATTTAAGTGGCTTATTTTTAATGTTTGTTGCACTCTTCTACTTATTAATATTTTTGCGCAAATTTGAGTAACCTATCCAAGTGAAGAAATAGCTATTTAAAAATAGGTATTGGATATCAACTAGTTGACATAGATACAATTTTTTGTCATAGAAAACGTTTTAATAATGTAATAATGTACTAAAAAGTAAAAATAAATAAATGATTTTCTTTAAATTAGTCTATAATAATAGTTACTCTATTCTGTCACTCTGTCTGTCACTCTGTCATTGTGTTCGGAACGCTCTATAGAAAACAAAAGGAGATTAAAATCTTTCAGTCAAACGAAAAACGAAACTTCCCATGCCCGTGACGTCGCATGGAACATATACGAAATTTTTAAAACAAAACGAATTACCACAAAAATAATGACGTCATCGATACGCGCTAATAAAGACACTCACATTACCGCCTAATTTATTGGTCTAATCTTAAAAGTGGTCTGCGTGGAGAGTTTCTTTCAGGCATCTCTTTGGGTAGGGGGGCAGAGCTCCCCATCCCCCCCCCCCCCACCCCCAACCCTGAATAACATCTATCAACCCCCGAACAAAATACAATTTAATAAGAAAAAATATACTTTTACTAGTGTAATTAATCCGCCCCACCCCAAAAAAAATTCAAGTGCCCCCCCCCCCCCACCGAAGAAAAAAAGTTTAAAAGAAACACTATCTTCATGATGGAGGTTCAGTTCCACAAGTAGAATTATGGTCTACCTTTAGTCTGTATGATCAACCAATGCGACCAGTGTTTCTTCCACATTTTTTCTCCCTCGAGAGGGGGGGGGGGGTGGAATAAAATTTCCGGGGTGGGGGGGGGGCGGACACTGGTAAAAGTATATTATATTATATATATATATATATATATATATATATATATATATATATATATATATATATATATATATATATATATATAAATTATATTTTCTTATAGAGGCGGTAGATGTTCTTCGGGGGGTGGGGGGGGGGGGGCGCTCAGCTCCCCCCCCCCCCCAACCTGAAGAGTTGCCTGAAAGAAACTGTACATGCGACTTTTGTCAATATTGAGCTTAAATATTTTGTATGAATGTGCAGTAGATACGTGTATATGAAGGTTAAATTCTGTTAAAATGCCGATTCTGGATAAAAATCCGTTTGTTTTCAATGACATTTTTCACTTCACGTTTAATTTGAAGTTGAAGTGGAGATTTTGGTTTCGGTTTAGAGAAAAAGACAACACTATCAACCTAGCGCTCATTGTATTTCTCCCTCAACGGGCCATTTATCTCAGTATATAATAATACAGTACTTTTTAAATTACTAGAAAGAAAAGCGCGGGTTACTATATTATCTATTGGATACCTTTAATAACATTTAGGAAGGACCCACGCTTTTCTTAATAGCAATTTAAATAGTAGTGTATTATTATATATTTAAAGAAAATCATTTATTTTCTCAATTTTTATTACATTTAAGCTAGTTATTAAAATGTTTTTTATGCAATTTATTTTCAGTACTTTAACTTTTTAAAATTTACCATAGAGTTGCATGACTACAAAATATTGTGCACCAAATTAACATGATCATGTACGTATACTAGTACGGAAAGCAGTAGGCAGCCTCATAATTTCGGAAAATGTTAATAATTCTTTAAAAAATTAGGCATCCAATTAAGTTAAATAAAATGTCATATTGCATTGTCTTTGATTCTGGGCCCACGTGCGAATTTCAGAGAAATTAGTTGGCTAGAAGTGCCCGAAATTTCACTCGCCCGTTTCGATCGATGACCACAAAAGCACGACAGACAGAGGAAGCAAGTTAAATAAAAGATTGTAATATTTTTTTTGTTTTAGATTTTTACCATCATAGTGGCCGTAAAACAATAAAAAATGAAAATATCTGAAAATACTTTTAAAATGTGATAATTCTAGAATCATAGCTTTTAATTAGTTTGAGCCTACATTTATATATATATATATATATATATATATATATATATATATATATATATATATATATATATATATATATATATATATATATAAGTTATAACCCGCCAATTTTCACTTTCGCTAGACAAACATCGATTGACTGTACAGGAATTCAGTGATCGATATCCTGAAAACCGCTTCATTGTAATTAGTTTTCTAAACTTTGCCTATAAAATTTAAAATATATTTTTTAAACCATGGGATCTAGTTCTGCCTTTTTTTTCATTTTCTATGTTAAAATGCAAACAATCACATTTTTTTTTTGGCTTTATTTTTAATTTGTTAACGTACCGAAAATATTAAAAAACATCAAATACATCCAATCTTTAGTACTCATAAATTTAAAAATGTATTCTTAAAATAAATGTCGACTACATAAAAAAAAAATATAGCCAACATTGTTTTCGGCGTAATTATTCTCAAAAAGAAAAATTAATAGAAAAAAAATCTTGTTTTAACCACCCAATCGAACTGAGAATCCAAATATACGCATTACAAATATTTACAAATGTTTATTAACTAAGCTCATTGCGTGAAGAATTTGCGGTATACGGGAACTGACATTTTTTGTGTCGAATGTCTTCAAGGAAACAGAAAACGAACTTGAAAATCTAACTTTTTTGTGTGACATTTTGAGAAATTTCAGTAAAAATAAAGAAGTTATAAAAATTTTACCAAAATATTTTAAATTTTAAGCTTCGACAAGCAACCCGGTGGCAGTAGTAGCCTTGTCTGCAGATTGTGGTGGTCAGCTCAACTCTACCAGCGGTGTCATTGTGTCACCAGGCTATCCCAGTGGCTACCCTATGAACGTCACGTGTGCCTGGACAATCACAGCAGCTTCATCAAACGTCATTGACATCAGGTGTGTTTTGTTACATAAGGAGGATATTGGCATAGGGTTATAGTATAGATAAATAGAATAGAATATATTGCTACATCCGGCAATAATATCCAATTTGTAAATAACCGTTTTTTTTTGCCTATTATTTTTTTGTTGCTATTCTTTTTTATCAGGTCAATTAAGACAATGTGAAATATACTTTCCTTAAACTGGATATTGTGCGTTAACATTGGTTTTTACTTTCATGTTGTCAGGAGGGATAGAACAACATTAATGCAAATTTGTAGATTACTCAAATTTCGTTGAACATTTCCTATCATAATGTGTTATTCAATAACCCTTAGATTGTTGAAATTCTTATTAATCAGTGTTGTTTTAAGCTATTGAAATGTCTTTATTGCAAAGAGTGGTGGGGGAGTAATACCTTCTGCAGTTTTTGGAGCAGCGTTAATATCCAAGGGGGCAACTGTAATGGCGGTATTGTCCTGCTTCCTTAAAGGTATCTGTTGAGTACACAAACTTATCTCTACCCTTGAAGGTTTCGCCAGTTTGACACCAAATACACCAGTGGTGGCTGCGGCACCGACTACGTCAAGGTCTATGACGGCAGCGGCACGTCTGCTCCGCTTCTTGCAACCGTCTGCGGCAAACTGGACGAGTCCGATCTGGCGTCACTGTTGATTAGGTCAACCAGCAACAAGATGTACGTCATGTTTAGGTCAGATTCTGACCTGGTCAGACCTGGCTTTATCGCCAAATTCTGGACACATGGTAAGTCATCATTCTTGTAATTTGTTAAAATAAGTTAGGGGTCGGCGTGGTCGGTTCAGTAAAGCTCATAAAACGAAATGTCCCGGACTCACGAGCTCGAACGCCCGGTTAAATAAGGCTCCAAACTGGGAACAGCAATGGCACTAAGATAGTAAACTCCAAAATCAAGCAACTGGTACCTTGACGTTTGTTCTTGGGTAGACAAAGTCTATGAAAGCAAATCCGAAAAGAAAAACACTTTTTATTCGGAGTCAGTGGGCCATATTGCGCAAACCACGTTATACTTAATTGTATTGGAAGAAATCCCTTCCAAAATTAGAATTTTGAAGACGAAATGTGTTGTTAACTGTATGATTAAGTCGTTTATTTCTAAATCTAGTAATCTTAAATCTCGGGGTAGGTTATAAATCGCTTTGGATTATTGGTTTAAAGCAGGGGTCGGCAACCTTTTGAAGCGGAAGAGCCAAAAGTTACAATTTTCAATATTTCACTGGTTTTAAAGAGCCACTAACATTTTTTTATTTCAAATATTTTATTTTTTTTATTGAGATTATTAGTATTTGTTCAAGGAGCTGGAGAGCCGCATCTTGATATCAAAAGAGCCGCATGCGGCTCGCGAGCCGCAGGTTGCCGACCCCTGGTTTAAAGTCTTGGCGTTCTCTAGATAGAAGTATTAGTAAAACATTAATTAATTCGCTAACTTATGTTTATGCCCAGATATTACCTTCGGCCAACCATTTTCCTCTTTTTCCCATTGCTCTAGTTTGTCCAGGTACATATTTCGGGACAACGTTTTGTGATAAAAGTTGCACCTGTGTGATGGGCAACACTCAGGTATGTGACACGTTTAAGGGAACATGCAGGTGTAAGGCAGGCTATGCAGGAAAATATTGCTCTGAAGGTAATATTCCCTCAATTGTATCTGCACTTTACTTGCTTACGACTACTGATCCAAAAGTTTTGAGTCCGTGTCCCTGATCACTCACCTATGATGGGTACCTGACTCCCGTTAAGGAAACTAAAGCGGTTGGATATAGTGCTGACCATACAATCCCATCTTATGCCGAGACCATTGAAACAGATGACTTTTACTTTACCTGCTCCATGTGTGTATGGCATGTACGGAATTCGATGACGATGATCAATTAACATTCCCGAACTAATGTCAAGTTTAAAGCAAAACAGTTCGAAAGTGGTGGTTAAATTTTCGATGCAACTTCAAACCAATTACAAAAATAGACATAATAATATGAAATAAGGCACATACATGCTTTTAAAAGAACGAGCTTTCAGAAAATGCTGCTTTATAAGAATTTGATATCCAATAATAAAATTCTGAAGTTGTTGCAGAAACTAAAAATAATATAGTATAGTATTTCTTCCATTTTCATTCCTAAACATGATTTTTGTACTTTTTCATCTATTTCTGTTTGAAATGTTTCACTTCTGGTTATTTACACGTGGATTTAGTATCAAGCAGCAAAACTTGTAATTTAAAACCCCAGTTTCTTCAAAGCTAGTGAAGACAGTGTTAGGCTTCTATAATGGACCGTATTTGGAATATGCATTGGTCAATTTCGATAATCGAAAAATCAAAATTAGTTTGTTTAGGTTTTAGTAGCATTGTGCTTTAAATTATTATTCAACGAAAATGAAGACCAACGCATTTGAAATTTGATTTATACTTTGATCTTAGACGGAATCGTCACAATTTTTTTTTTAAGCTTATGTTTGTCGCAGGAGAGAAAATTTCCACGCAACGCTGTAAACACATTTTCATTGTTCGATCATTGTTTTCAAAGAGCGCATTAGCTTTGTAAACATTATCCGTGTACCCATCCATAATTTAGAAAGATGTTGCAACGTTTCAATAAATGAGATATAAAGATTGTGTGTTGCAAAGCTTATTGAGTTGTAATCGAAGCTTCGAGAAAAAAAAATACAAAATCGAATCAAATGAATAATTATTGATGGAGTCTTGGAGTGTCAGACCCGAATCTTTTGGATCTTGTCGAAGTGTGGTAAGGCCTTCGTGGTTAGGGTTCGTAGGAGAAACACTAGGAGCTGAGTGACAATGAGGACGAGAAGTGTTTTCTTTCTAAAAGAGCTCTTGAAATGGTGTTTTAGAATTCATTAACAGAAGTGTTAGTAAAAGCTTTATGTTCAGGTTGGATCGATGGTTCGTGTTACCTGAAAAAAAAATGTTTTTGTTAGGTGACCAGAAAGTAATATTGTTTAGCATTTTTTGCATCTTTGTTAGGCTGTCTTGCTTTTTCTCAGTCTAAAAATGATATTTCTTTTTTGTACTTTGTCAATACGTATTGCAAGAAATACCTTTACTACAACACAAAGCCCTGTGTCACATCTAGCACAATCTACTATATCTATATCTGGTATATCTAATTTGTTGTAAGAGTACATAGAACATTCTTCACTGCAAGTCAGCTTCTATTTGTATATCTATCTGTAGGTGTCTGCGTATCTACAAGCTGCCAGTACCAGTGTAGAGTGACGTCATTAAGCCCCAGGAAAGAAGAGTGTTACTGCCCTGATACACAGGCGACGAGAATTGAAAGCGGTGTTCTCTATTGTGATAAAACATACCGTAATGCTGTTTTAATTTTATGCTAATGCTACTAAATATACGATTATCATTTCATGATATTCTAAATTTCGGTATTTTAGTAAATAGCTAGTGATTTTTTTACAACAAATTCAATAATTGTTTATGGTTAGTTTTTGTTGGTTTGCGATAGATGTTATTTTTTTGTTGGTTTGAGATAAATGTTGGTTTTTGTTTGTTTGAGATAGATGTTGGTTTTTGTTGGTTTGAGATAGATGTTAGCTTTGCTGGTTTGAGATAGATGTTAGTTTTTGTTTGCTTGAGGTAGATGTTACTTTTTCTAATAATTGATGTAGACCTGAACCAGTAAACCAAATTCTAGATCTTCGAAATAGCAAAGTCAATTCTACTATGCAACACGGCCGTTCATTCTACAAATATTAACATATGTGCGATACGCCGCGATAGGCTGAAGTAAACTGTTTTGTATGTAAAATTAGCCTGTAGTTTTGCCTAAAGGTTAAAAGCCCATACAGTCAAATTTATTGCATTGGTAATATACGTATTAGTTACCGAGTTCTTAAATATAACACTCCAAACTTCCAAGATAGTAACTGTTGTAATTATGCTAAACTTGTAATAGACTTCGGCCAGTTTTTGCTAGCACGGGTGAGGGTGGATGGGAGGGGGGGGGGGGCTAGTAAATTGGCTTCCGACTAGAGGTCAGATTGCATTGTAATCGGGTCTTGACCCACATGCAAAGTTTAAAAGAAATTGGTCACTTAGAATTGCTTGAAATTTCGCCCGCGGGTCTTTATCCATGACGAAGCATGACAGACAAAAGCACGACAAACAGGCAAAATAACGAGGAAAAAGTTTTTAAAACCTGTAATAAATCAATAAATGTTTCCTCTCTGTACCCAGCATGCCAGATAACGATCACAGATACCCATACTATAACTAACCCAAAATGTATCCTCTCTTTATTCAGCGTGCCAGATAACGATCACAGATACCCGTACTATAACTAACCCAAAATGTATCCTCTCTGTACGCAGCGTGCCAGATAACGATCACAGATACCCGTACTAAAACTAACCCAAAATGTATCCTCTCTGTACGCAGCGTGCCAGATAACGATCACAGATACCCGTACTATAACTAACACAAAATATATCCTCTCTGTGTCCAGCGTGCCAGATAACGATCACAGATACCCGTACTATAACTAACACAAAATGTATCCTCTCTGTGTCCAGCGTGCCAGATAACGATCACAGATACCCGTATTATAACTAACACAAAATGTATCCTCTCTGTACCCAGCGTGCCAGATAACGATCACAGATACCCGTACTATAACTAACCATAAAATGCATCCTCTCTTTACCCAGCGTGCCAGATAACGATCACAGATACCCGTACTATAACTAACCCAAAATGTATCCTCTCTGTGTCCAGCGTGCCAGATAACGATCACAGATACCCGTATTATAACTAACACAAAATGTATCCTCTCAGTACCCAGCGTGCCAGATAACGATCACAGATACCCGTATTATAACTAACGCAAAATGTATCCTCTCTTTACCCAGCGTGCCAGGTAACGATCCCAGATACCCGTATTATAACTAACACAAAATGTATCCTCTCTGTACCCAGCGTGCCAGATAACGATCACAGATACCCGTACTATAACTAACCATAAAATGTATCCTCTCTTTACCCAGCGTGCCAGATAACGATCACAGATACCCGTACTATAACTAACCCAAAATGTATCCTCTCTGTACCCAGCGTGCCAGGTAGCGGTCACTGATACCGGTGCTATAACTAACCCAAGCTACCCGTCCCCCTACCGGACCAACGGGATGTGCTTGTACGACATCTCTGCCCCCAATGGAAAACTCGTCTTCTTACGGTATTTGTTTTCTTTTGATTTTTTTTTTTTTTGGGGGGGGGGGGGGGGGGGGTTCATTAAATTACCGTTAACTTTTTCTTCTATAAACTTGATGAAAAACAACACCAAACAATGTTTTAGCAAAGCAGTAGATATGGGGAGAGGGGGGAGATATAGAGGGTGATAGAGTTAAGGAGTGTCTAATAAAAGCTTATAGACACATTTCTAAAGAAAATTAATAAAATACTGCCTTCGTATCTCTATTTACTTGTTTGAGAATGGGTCTAACGTTTTCATTTCTAATCTGATACCAAAGGCTCGATCCTGATATGCCAATGTTCACAGCATCTATGACATTAACCTGATATGCCCCTATTTACAGAATCTACAAAATTAACCTGATATGCCCCCTGTTTACAGAATCTATGACATTAACCTGATATGCCCTGTTCACAGAATCTATAAAATTAACCTTATATGCCCCACGTTCACAGAATCTATGACATTAACCTGATATGCCCTGTTCACAGAATCTATAAAATTAACCTGATATGCCCCACGTTCACAGAATCTATGACATTAACCTGATACGCCCCTGTTCACAGAATCTATAAAATTAACCTGATATGCCCCACGTTCACAGAATCTATGACATTAACCTGATACGCCCCTGTTCACAGAATCTATGACATCAACATTGAAGAGTGCACTAGCTGTAGCTGTGACGCCCTAACAATCTACGACGGAGCAGACACGACGTCTCCAGTCCTGGGTAGGCTGTGTGGGCTGGGGGACATGTCAGACATCCCAGGTCAGCTCTGGTCTACGTCCAACACCATGTACATCTCATTTAGAACGGACTCACAGAACACCTACAGGGGCTATTACGCTTCTATCAGCTTTATCTCCAGCGGTAAGATTTCTGTAATGCTATAACCGTTGCATTCTCTCTTCTCTCTTTCTATCTGTATATATATATATATATATATATATATATATATATATATATATATATATATAAGGGTGTGTATGTACGTGTGTATATTGAGATTAGCATGTATTTGAAGTACTAAATATTAACTTTAATAACTTAGTTTTCATTGACTTTGCTTGTAGGAATAATTTTTAACCGACAGACATTAAAATTCAGTTGAATATCAAATGTTGAAGATCGCACATCTTTGCATAACCGTTGTATTACTAAAAGATGGGATCAGTATTTTAGTATAGCTCTTCGGGGGCGGGGGGCTGTCCTGCCCTCTCCTCGTCCCATCCCCCCTTCCCCCCGAAGCACCTCTACCACCCCCCACCCCCAACCCCAAGCGGAATAGAATTAGTATAAAGAATATATACTTTTACCAGTGTCCCCCCTTCCCCTGAAAGTTTCAAATTGTGATTGGTGTAGGTGCAAAAGCCGGAGGGGGGGGGTGATTGTGTAAAGAGATTGTCTCTTGTGGGATGTGCTGTTTTTACTGACTGAGCTTTGTCTTAAAGACAACGGGGTCGTCCAACAAGTATGGTTATTACTGGGGATATGCTGTTGGAATCTGGTCAGAGGTCTTCCTTGTTCACACCGTGTGCTATATAATATTTGACAATTTGAAATACACACAAATAATAGGAAGTAAAATATATAAAGTAACAGCAATTGCTTCCCGAATAGGAAAACATGTATAGTTAAGTTTAAGGAAAACAAAAACAAGCGTACATGAAATTAAAAGGCCCGGTGAAAACAAACAGTATGAATAAAAGTTAATCACTATCGAACAAAAATTTACCAAATTTATGAATGAAATTATACTGACACCTCAAGACCTTGAACTTGACCTCAGATTGTCCAAGCTTCACCTGGGGTGTGACGACAGAGTGCACAACACCGTGCATCTGTGTGCAGGCCAACTCCATCAGTTGCATCAGGATGACCGGCGTGTGTGTGTGTAAACCTGGATACTACGGCAGTGACTGCTCATCCACCAACCCAAATACAGGTGGACATGCCTAAATAAATCTCTTTCATGCTTTTAGTTAGGGTTGTAATATTTGTTTTAAGTACATCAACCGAGCTATGTTACAGGTGATACGCTTAGAAAATTCTCTTTGTTAGAAGTGTATCTGCCTTGGTGGTTAGAAAAAAGGATTTTAGCAAGTAAGACAAACGTTTAAAGACTTGCCAAATGTTGACCATCTACAGCGCCAACCATACCACCATGCACCACCAACATCGCAGCAGCATCAGGTGTCTTGTCCAGCCCCAAATACTCACAAAACTACACCAACAACCAGCTGTGTCAGTGGAACATCGTGTCCGGGACGAACAAGTTCATCGTTCTCATGTAAAAAAATATTCATATTTCAATTAAATTTTTAAAATATCAATAATAAGTATTAAATATTAAATGAACAAAAATACTTTTTTTTTTTTAAAAGTACTGCGATAATTATTGTTTTTGCATAATTTTATAATGTTTTGTTATTTTCAGTAAAATGCTATTATACATATTCTATTACATTATATTTGTGCGTTGAACTTACATAATTGAATTTCAAATTACAAACAAACTAGATTGTGCATAAGATGAATGTTACAAGTAGATCTATGTTATCGATAATGTACGTACCAAAAAAAATAAAACATACAATGTTTTAAATTTTCTTTTCGTTAAAGATTCTAAAATTTTAAATCTTATTTTTCAAAATACTAAATTTATTCCCATTATAAGCTGAGATTCGTTCGCTAGGTTGAACAAGGAACTCCTCTAAAATAAAGTTTAAAACAAATCTACAACCTAACCCAATGTTTCAGCATCACAGACCTGAGAATGGAGAGCTCACCTGACTGCTCCAAAGATTACCTGGACATCTATGACGGGGTCGATGCTTACTCCAACAAACTAGGTCGTGTTTGCCAGGGTCCGGTGCCCAGTTTCACGTCATCAGGAAATAAGATGTACATTGTGATGAGGACGGATGGTGCTGGGACTAATGTCGGCTTTTCCGGCAAATTTATTTCTATCGGTAAACAATTAGCTGCTACGTAATAAATGTTACCCATTATTTAATTAATCTACACCTTATTTACTCATTAGTTTACTAATCAGTATGAACTTAAATATGGTCATTAAAAAAAGTTAAACTGTCGTTAATAATTTATGACAATTAGAGACAACCAATTCATCTTAAATATTAGTTTAGAAATTTGTAAATAGAGATGAATTCTATAACAAAAATGTTGCGTCTGTTACATTAGTTAATTATCTGTCTTAAGACAAATTATTTTAAATTCTTGATACTAATACGTTAAAATTCACGGCATTGAACCCGTCCGTAGACTGTCCCGCCTTTAGGTATGGCACATCTTGTAGCATGCCCTGTAATTGTAAGACAGCCACCACAGAGTCATGTGACTCTACGACAGGCGTCTGCAAGTGTAAGACAGGATGGACGTCCAGTGACTGCTCGCAAGACGAGGACGAGTGTCTCCAAAATCGATGTCCAAGACCTCAGGCCTGTTTGAATACATTGGGTGGATATGAATGCTCTTTCTCAATCGGCACATGTGAGTAGGACCGTATTGGACAAACTCTCTACCTTCGAGGTAGACTTTTGAAAAAAGAGGTTACGTCCTATCGAACAGTTCACTACAGCATCTAGAGATTGTATGCATATATATATATATGTATATATATATATATACATATATATATATATATATATATATATATATATATATATATATATATATATATATATATATATATATATATGCATAAAATCTCTAGATATATATTGGGCAGGGTGAGATATTGTTTCCTATGTATATATATATATACATATATATATATATATATATATATATATATATATATATATATATATATATATATATATATATATATATATATATATATATATATATATATATATATATATATATATATATATATGCATAAAATCTCTAGATATATATTGGGCAGGGTGAGATATTGTTTCCTAATTGTTTTATAACTTTTGGTTAGAATAAATAATTAAATACACCAATTGTTTGTCTGTTTTGAACCTTTAATGAATTGTTGGCAAACAGTCTGCTTTATTATTCTGATATGTCGTGGTACCCTATACGACTCCTCGAAGTTTCTCTGTGATTTAAAGATATAAATAACATACTATTGTTGTCATCTGCTGCCCACATTACGGACTACTGATAAGTTTTCGTGTTCTGTACATCAGATATGTTTTGTCAAGTATTCCCGAGTCCCACTGGAAATTTTCCCTATCTCACAACTTATGTGAAATGAGATTTTTAAAACGTTCTTAAATTTACAAGCTGTACGACCTTAATGTATTCTTTCCACAGCGTGCAACATGAGCTCTACATACGAGTCAGGCTACATCACCAACCCCAGTTACCCAGCCGTCTATAAACTAAAGGCGTTTTGTAAATGGACGGTTAGAGCAGGAAAAGGAAGGGTTATTTCCCTTAGGTATTATTAGCCTGAAATAAGTATATATGTTATATACGTATGTATATATAAAATACATATGTATATATATATATATATATATATATATATATATATATATATATATATATATATATATATATATATTATATACATGTGTATATTTGGCTATAGATAAACGGATCATTCCGATAAATAATATTCAAATCTTCTTGACGCCAGTTTCCGAGACTTTAATGTGACTTACTCTCCACGATGCGCCACTGATTCTATCAACATCTACGACGGGAAAACAGATTCTTCCCGTCTCATCGGGAAATACTGCGGGAATGTTGTTTCTGGTCTGGTCAGGTCAACTGGACCGTACGTCTACGTCACGTACACTAGCCCAGGCAATGTCAATGGAGACATCTTTAATATTTACTTTCGCTCGCACGGTAAACGTTGTTTACTATTCTTCACGTTTTACATTAAAACTTTAAAGAGTATTAGTAAATAAATGGAATGTTTAAAGCATGTATTAAAGTGGCATATACTATTAACAACTGGTCTTTTAATTACATATATGTTAACAGCTTGATTTCATTTTGCAAGCGAATTTGAAACATACGGACTCCGATTTCAGTTTGCAAACAGTGGACGTACGGGCCAACGTGTGAGCTGAGCTGTAGTTGTGACCAAACCAACACCGAGTTTTGTGACAACACATCTGGTCTGTGTGTCTGCAAAACTGGCTGGACAGGGGACACCTGTACACAGAGAATATGAGTACATCTAGACAGGGGACAACTGTACACAGAGAATATGAGTACATCTAGACAGGAGACAACTGTACACAGAGAATATGAGTACATCTAGACAGGGGACACCTGTACACAGAGAATATGAGTACATCTAGACAGGGGACAACTGTACACAGAGAATATGAGTACATCTAGACAGGGGACAAATGTACACAGAAAATATGAGTACATCTAGACAGGGGACAACTGTACACAGAGAATATGAGGACATCTAGACAGGGGACAACTGTACACAGAGAATATGAGTACATCTAGACAGGGGACAACTGTACACAGAGAATATGAGTACATCTAGACAGGGGACAACTGTACACAGAGAATATGAGGACATCTAGACAGGGGACAACTGTACACAGAGAATATGAGTACATCTAGACAGGGGACAACTGTACACAGAGAATATGAGCTGAAAAACTAGAGGAATGTGGTTTGAGGGGCACACGTTTTGCCTTGTTATTGAATTATTAGTTGCAATATTTAAACAACTGTATTTAATTCGCAAAGTAATTTTTTGAATAATAATTGTAACAAATCAATCAAGTTAAATACTTGTAAGGGGTCGGCGTGGTCAAGTCGGTAAAGCTCATGGTTGCTAAACCGAAAAGTCTCGAGTTCGAACCCTCGGGCAGATGAGGCTCGTTAGCTGGGGACTGCCACTCTTCTAGGAGAGACAACTCCAAAATTAAACAACTGTTGCCTTGTAGTTTGTTCTTGGTTGGACAAAGGCTATGGAAGCAAATCCATAAAGAAAAGCAGGCTGAAATCGGAGTCAATGGCCTCAATGGCGCATAACCAGTTGACACGTAACGCTTAATTGTGTTGGAGGCGTGGTCGAGTCGGCAAAAAGTTCATGGTTGATAAATTCGAAAAGTCTCGAGTTCAAACCCACTGGCAGATAAATCTCGATCCCCTTCAACACTAATAATTAAGAACGAAGAAGAAGAAGAAGAAATACTTGTAAAGTGAAATTTTAAATTATCAACGAATGGTTCATAGCACATGTAATTTTGTAAGCTCATTGTTATAAGTTATGTGCTAAATACATGAAACAGTGTAATCATGTCGGTTGTAATCATAGATTAGAATCACTTTCATAATACACAAAGTCAATGATAGGCTTAGTTAGTCGTGGTTATTTGGTGGTCTAATTTTGTAAATAATATATATATTACATAATATAAAATCTTAATTTATTACAATTTTTTTTCTTTTATTGCTTTCGTATATTTATTACAATTTAATCTTAAATGCACTCTACTGTTAAAATTAAAATTCATTTTTAAAATCTTATATAGAAATATAATAATTATTTGTTGTCGATATTTTAAAAGGAAATCCTGAAAATAAATATTGTACAACATACATACTGGTTGTGGTTTTGTGGAAGACGTTATGTTACGCTAGTAGTTCAAAGGCGTATGTCAACAAAAATGTCATCTAGAGGCCATAGACCTACCAAGAGGGAAGAGGCTGAAAGTTGAAAAATGTATTCAAGCCAGAACATGTCATCAGTGCTGGTCTACAGCAGAGAATGTTATATTTGTTGTGAGAATTTATCACGGAGCACAGCCCATTCCTTGCTATGTGGGAAAACTGCGATTGTTCTATTTTGAGACACGGAGAATGTTTAAAGATTGGTAATGTCAATTGTGGATAAAAAAGTATGCGCACGAGACAGAAGTTGGCAGTACAGGATAGAAGTTGGCAATACAGGATAGAAGTTGGCAGTACAGGATAGAAGTTGGCAATACAGGATAGAAGTTGGCAATACAGGATAGAAGTTGGCAATACAGGATAGAAGTTGGCAGTACAGGATAGAAGTTGGCAGTACAGGATAGAAGTTGGCAATACAGGATAGAAGTTGGCAATACAGGATAGAAGTTGGCAATACAGGATAGAAGTTGGCAATACAGGATAGAAGTTGGCAACAGGATAGAAGTTGGCAGTACAGGATAGAAGTTGGCAATACAGGATAGAAGTTGGCAGTACAGGATATAAGTTGGCAGTACAGGATAGAAGTAATATTTTGTGCTTGGTGTTAACACTGAATTTGGTTTGACTGAGGTCGACAGTGGGCTGGTTTGTTCCCTTGTGACTACAATGAGTGTGGTGACTCACACAGTCTTTTGCAAGTTATTGTTAATATGACAGTAAGTGTTTTATGTGAATATAACAGAAGATGGTCTCTGAATTAATTTAATAACAGAAGGTTGGCCCTGTGAATATCACAGAAAATTTCCTGTGAATATAACTGAAAGTGGTCTTTATAAATATAACACAAGATATCCTATGTAAATATACCAGGTGGTGTCCTATATCATGATAATAAAACTCAAGTCTGTTAGGAAAGAACTCAATTCATAATTTAAATAAAACTAATTATTAAAAAAAATATTATTGAAAATTAGTCAAGTTTTTAATTTCATGAAAATACTTTTATTTTAGAGTAAAAAAACATTTTTTTAGTTTTATGAGTTTTAGCTTCACCTTGCACGTGATAAAACCACTAGAAAATTAACAGGTAACTAAAGCCCTGAAATGATTGTCTCAGTCCAACATTTTCTCGATTGCGAATCTCAGAACCGGAAGATTGCCATTGTTGCAGCACCAAGGTGAAGGTTCGTTTCTGCGACTTCTGAGCCTGTGTCTTCTAACACCTGCCAGGTAGGGTCTAGCACCTGGGGACAAATTTTTAAAAAATATACAGGTGGACTTGTAGAACTAATCAGGAATATTATTTGAATACAACGGAAAGAAAATATGTTATAGCTATTGTAATCTTAATCAACAAAATGATCCACATTTAAATGATTATAAATTTAAAAGAAGATTTGTTGATGATAATCTTTACCTGTTACCGGGGCACAGGTTGCTGGTAAAGTGAGGTGATAAGCAAATATCAACAGGACACAAGTCACAACGATAAATTTCAATCGCTTCATGATACTTGTCTTGTTTTAGTTTATCACTTCTTTTGTCGCAACGTTCAACTATTTAAAAAAAAAACAAGTTATTACAAGGTGAAATTGTTTAAAAAACACAGTTTATAACACAGTGAAAGGGTCGTTTCTTTGAGAAAGTTAAGAGTTAAGGAAACAAATAGATATTTTCCTTATATATAAGACTGCTAGTACAACGCGGTCGCTAACACCAAATGAAAAGATTCAACAGACAGACCAACAAAGACAATCTTCTGATAAATTTATAAAAGGCAGTTATTGCACAAAAGGTTAACTATCCATTATGCAACTTAATAGTAAGTTGTTTTTTTCTGCCGAGACGTACATAAACCATGTATATT